AAATTATTTTAAAATATTTTACCATAAATAGCCCTGTAATACAGTGATTTGCATTTATGAATATTATAATTCAGTAACAGTACTTGTGTGAATTATCCCAGTATGCCAGGTCATGCCAAACAACTGTACCTGGCGGGATTGTGGTTTTCCATATCTCAGCTCTGTAACAAAGTGCTCACAGTTCTTTGTAAACACACTATATGGACGTTCTTTTCCCAAAAAACTGTGTGCATCCTGTAGCATCTCTCGAACAGGACGTGGCTTATATTTCTCATCCAAAAGGTTGTTGATACGATAATCATTATTGCCAACTACTTCATAAAGTTGTTCTTTTTTCACTGTGGCTCTTTCATGTAGTACTGACATGATACTGTTGGCCCCAGCATGAGCATGTTCAGCTGTAGACAAAAGAAATGGAAAAGTAAAAGCAATCATTAGACTTAAAGGCACAATATGTAATTTTCGCCGCTAGAGGGCGCGTATTCAAAATAAACAAATAGACAAAGGCGTAGTTTGATGACGCCGTGACTGAGTGTGGAATCATGGGAGTTTTCGTCTTCATCCCCACAGCCGATGCAATCCGATGGGACTCGGGCAGAAATCATGTTCATGGATGAGCTAATGATTTATTAATGTAGTAGAATGAAGCAGGGTGAGGCTGAAAGCCGTCGAAGCGAAACGAGGCCGCTGAACGAGCGTGACACACGGCTCAAAAGCAGCGGAGCTTTTATTATGCCACAGCCGACCGCTTCCGCTCCTTCCTGTCATGTGTATGTGGGGGGGAAAAAAGCAGCGCTGTTTTATCATACTAGATACATTTGAAAGTTCTGTTATAACGCTACTCTGTGCGGGGAGCTTGATGACATGGCAGCCTATATGCAGCCTTACTAGAAATGCGTCTTTCATGCTGCCACTGTATTCAGCTTTCTATATTTTGGTTATAATAGACAGTTATAAAAGTCTAGTAGAAAAATAAATGTGTGATATATATTTAAAAAAAATACATAAATAAATTAGAAGAACAAGACAGAAAGATTTATCAGTGGACTATGGACTCATTTCTTTATTATGTTACCTTACACCACAATAGATTTTACATTCTATTTATGAATTTCTCCATTTGTGCTCATAAAACTAAGGCTGCCAAGTTTTTACATTTAAGTTTAATGGTTTATCTCAATTATTTAAAATTAATAAAAAGTAACAAACAATTTATTGGCTTTAAATAATCCAGTACTTTTAGTTCTTCATTTCTCACTGTTCATTGTGTCTGCTTCTCTTTGTCTTTTGAACCAAGAAAGGTTGCAACTGCATAAGCAATGATTCCAATGCCAAGCCCTGCACCAGCCCCTGCGGCAACAGTCCTCACTGCATCTTGCACCTATTAGAATAAACAGAAATGATCTATATTAATTCACTGTGTGAAAAGTACTCTCAGTACTGGATTGCAACAGGAAGGGCATCTGGCGTAAAACATGTGCCAAATCGGTTGTGCGGATCACACTGCTGTAGCAACCCCTGATTAAAAGGGAGCAAGCCGAAGGAAGAGAGAATTCACTGTGTGAAAAGTTGTTGCTTTTGTGACCTTAAACCTATAATAAATTATTTTAAAATATTTTACCATAAATAGCCCTGTAATACAGTGATTTGCATTTATGAATATTATAATTCAGTAACAGTACTTGTGTGAATTATCCCAGTATGCCAGGTCATGCCAAACAACTGTACCTGGCGGGATTGTGGTTTTCCATATCTCAGCTCTGTAACAAAGTGCTCACAGTTCTTTGTAAACACACTATATGGACGTTCTTTTCCCAAAAAACTGTGTGCATCCTGTAGCATCTCTCGAACAGGACGTGGCTTATATTTCTCATCCAAAAGGTTGTTGATACGATAATCATTATTGCCAACTACTTCATAAAGTTGTTCTTTTTTCACTGTGGCTCTTTCATGTAGTACTGACATGATACTGTTGGCCCCAGCATGAGCATGTTCAGCTGTAGACAAAAGAAATGGAAAAGTAAAAGCAATAATTAGACTTAAAGGCACAATATGTAATTTTCGCCGCTAGAGGGCACGTATTCAAAATAAACAAATAGACAAAGGCGTAGTTTGATGACGCCGTGACTGAGTGTGGAATCATGGGAGTTTTCGTCTTCATCCCCACAGCCGATGCAATCCGATGGGACTCGGGCAGAAATCATGTTCATGGATGAGCTAATGATTTATTAATGTAGTAGAATGAAGCAGGGTGAGGCTGAAAGCCGTCGAAGTGAAACGAGGCCGCTGAACGAGCGTGACACACGGCTCGAAAGCAGCGGAGCTTTTATTATGCCACAGTTGACCGCTTCCTCTCCGTCCGGTCGTGCGTATGTGGGGTAAAGCAGCGCTGTTTTATCATACTAGATACATTTGAAAGTTCTGTTATAATGCTACTCTGTGCGGTCGTCACCGGTCTATTAAAACGCACAACATATTAAAGCGTCTTTGGTGTTTCCATGTTTTCTACAAAACAAAACCGGAAATCGAGGGGTTATGACGTCATTGGCAGGCGACACAATGACACTATGGACACGGTCCGTGTCACTAGTTAAAATTGCTTATTTCTCTGGATTTAAACATTCTTCGAAACATTTGGGATAATGTAAGTACACAAGTCAGCAAAATATATAACACTGTTCTAGTGGTTTTTGGATATTTTTATTAAAAAAATCTTACATATTGTGCCTTTAAATGGAATGTTTCAGATTCAATGCAAATTAAGCTAAATATCATTTGAGGCATGTAAAATACTCACAGGGTGGTGCCAGGTGAATCACATAACCTTCACCAACATAAATAGCCCAGTGCTGGTATAAACCTCGGGAGATTTCAATGAGGTCTCCGGGCTCTGGCTTTTTCTCGTACTAGGAGGCAATATCAGGTGTAATATTTATAAATACATAAATACAGAGCCAATTAATCTGTCAACAAAATGTAATATTAGCCTATCCCAGATAGCACGTCTGCAAGATATCTGTTAAAGGTCTCTTGATCTGGAAAGCATCTGCTGTCTACAAACGTCTGACAGACCTCTGTCAGATGTCAGTTTTACATACATTCTAAATCATAAACATCTTAAAGACATCTAATAGACGTCTATTTGACATTTAAAAGGAAACGTCCTACAGACGTATTGCAGATGAGCAAACTCTCTAAAAAATACGTCTTGCAGATGTAAATGCAGACCGTCTCCGAGATGTACCTGTGCTATCAGGGTATACTGTTTAACTGAAAGCAATACCATTGCACTTGTGAATAGGCCAGATAAAATCAAGAAAGCGAAACTGTACACATAGACATACAGTATAACCGTTTCAGAGAGAGGCTATAGCCACGTATTCTGTTGACATGCACTGCACTTATGTAGTATCTCTGGTACGTAATATTGCTTAGCGACAGACAAAAATATCTATTTGCTATGTAATTGTGAGCTTTCATTCTTTCCATTTGTTTGAGGTCATTCAAATATTTACCTTGGCCATTGCAACCTCAAACTTTCACTTTTTTCATCCTGTTAGAAACACATAACAATTATGCGACAATTTAAATCTCTATGTCAAGGAACATATTCTCTAAATTACATAAATCACATTTTATGTACATTCGTGTAAAGGCTATCGTAAATAAATTCATTTGAAACATCGGAAATAAACATCAGATGGTAGAACTTCGGTCTTTCTAAAACAGACTAACAAAAAAAGTTTGAGCTCTACGATCCATGCCTTGAGCAAGGTATTCATTTCATAATATATGTGGTCTTAAGTAATTAGGATATTATACTTACAAGTACGTCGCAGTGATGCTGTTTCTGAAGTGAAATCAGCGACTCTCGCAACTAACAAAAAAAGTTTGAGCTCTACGATCCAAGCCTTGAGCAAGGTATTCATTTCATAATATATGTGGTCTTAAGTAATTAGGATATTATTGGATATTATAATTAGGATATTATTGAACTAAGCTGGATGTTGACATCACTGAATTCAATGATGAACTGTCTTTAACTGAAAAATGAGTGTTTACTATTGTCATTTTGCATTATTGACACTATTTTCCTAATTAATACTGTTCAGTTGCTTTGTCACAATCTGTATTGTTAAAAGCGCTATATAAATAAAGGTGACTTGACTTGACTTGACATTATATTAATGTTTTATTGTTGCTGTAAATTTGCCGGATAACTTTTTTTTAATGAAGATCTATCTTAGTATTTAATTTATATGAATATATAAATGAAACAATATCTTATGTAACTGGTGATTTCATTTGAAGTTTTTCCACTATTTTTAATCATGTTTTTGCCTTCCCTAATTCATTTTAAATGGTCCTTGGTGTGATTATTTTTTAGAAGTGAAAATATTGTTCTCTTTTTACTGCCATGAACGAAGGTGGTTTATTTAGTCTGATTTATAGGAATGATACAGTCAGCAGGTGTTTGCCAAGTTCAGTCCAGTATGTTAAGTAAAGGTTTAAAAAATAACTACTCGAAACATAAATCCCCATTGTAATTGTATGTCCATTTTTGGTCCAATATCATGCTTTCTGTCATTGCATTTCTTTGTTATTTCAGGTTCAGTAAAATTTCCTGGCATGGTAAAAGGTTTTACATTGCAAAAGCATTAATAAATATGCATTTTTTTTTGTATATTTATAAAATTAACATTTTCACTGTTATTGCCCAGGATACAGTTTAAGAAGAACATGTTGACATTTTGTGACAGCATTCCTAAAATGTAACATGTTGTCACACTGTATGGGGTTAGTTGGAATGGAAACTACTATTAAATAGCCTATTAAAGCCTATTAATATGATGCTGCTAAAAAGAACATTATTTGGTCTATTTGGTGTAATGAATTGTGTTTATGCGGTTTAAGGTAAAAAAAAAAAAAACATTATTTTCCACATACTGTACATTATTGTTTCTCCTCTATGCCCCGCCTTTCTGAAACGCGTCACGAGAGCTTCCGCTTTCTAGTGCATCGTTCATTGCAGCGGTGTTGAAATTGTTAAAAGTTGCAAATATTGCACCTTTCCCCCATTGTAGTTGTAGTTTTTTATATAGATAAAATATTGTGCATGGAGTATTTGGCATAAGCACATAAACGAAGTCTGCTATGTTCGAAGGGAATGCCTTGTCAGCCATGCAGACGTCTCACTGCCACACTCCTCTAAACAATTACAGGTGAGCAGTAATAGAATAATCATACATGTTACCAATAACTTCTAAAACAATGCTTTAGTTTATGGAAGCAATTGCAGTTTGCATTAAACTGCGTTATCTGTATGAATGAACAAAATATTGTTCTCTTTTTACTGCCATGAACGAAGGTGGTTTATTTAGTCTGATTTATAGGAATGATACAGTCAGCAGGTGTTTGCCAAGTTCAGTCCAGTATGTTAAGTTTAAAAAATAACTACTCGAAACATAAATCCCCATTGTAATTGTCCATTTTTGGTCCAATATCATGCCTTCTGTCATTGCATTTCTTTGTTATTTCAGGTTCAGTAAAATTTCCTGGCATGGTAAAAGGTTTTACATTGCAAAAGCATGAATAAATATGCATTTTTTTTTTTGTATATTTATAAAATTAAAATTTTCACTGTTATTGCCCAGGATACAGTTTAAGAAGAACATGTTGACATTTTGTGACAGCATTCCTAAAATGTAACATGTTGTCACACTGTATGGGGTTAGTTGGAATGGAAACTACTATTAAATAGCCTATTAAAGGGGTCATATGATGCTGCTAAAAAGAACATTATTTGG